CTCTCTCTCTCTCTCTCTCTCTCTCTCTCTCTCTCTCTCTCTCTCTCTCTCTCTCTCTCTCTCTCTCTCTCTCTCTCTCTCTTTCTTTCGTTCGTTCTCTCTCTCTCTCTCTCTCCACATCATCAGATTCTCCAATGTGGGCAGTCCGTCACCTCGCATCAACATAGAGTTGTCACCCCGCTTGGTCTGAGCATACAAGCCAGGTTCGCCCGATGCGCCATAGTCCGTCGCGGCCCGCACGTCAACCCCGCATGCTCGGCACCAGCTCGTCGGATCGCCCAACTCTCTCGTCTACTCACCTTCCGAGCTTATTCGTTAGCCGATCCTCACTGACAGCGCTAACTTCCAAATTCATAGAGAACAAACTAATCGTGCTGGCGAAATTTGTAGCACGCATGCTTGCACGAAAAATCCGGGATTAGGCCTGAGCAGGGGAAAAGAGGAAGTGCCTACGTTTGCAAGGCCAGGCCGCGGCGTGGGAGACAAAGTCACTCTCCGCGCATCGATCCAGTCATGCAATGTTGGAACCAATTAGAACCGAGAAGGAAGCGTGCATGTGCGGGCGAAGGTGGGGCGGGGAAAAAGACATCAAGAACGAGGAAATTACAGTTGCAATTACACCCGCCAAAAGTTTCAGTTATGCCGCTTATGCGCAGGATTAAGGTGCGGAGAAGTAAGAGCCCATATCCTGCTGTGGTAAGGCGTGCGCAAGCAAGAAGCGCCGTGCAACCAGATTGCGAGGTACCGAAATTCCTAGCCTAAATCCTAATTACATAAAGAAATCCCGAAAGAAAACAATTCCGAAAGTCCGCAGGGTCTCGACACCAGTTTGAAAATTCAAAAACGACGTTCCCGTGCGATGATCGCGCCAAAATTCCCAGTTCCCACAGCAGAACAAGAAAGAAGCTATGGCAGCAGTTATCTCTCACGCTCGCCAAGGCGCTGTCACTTGAACTGCCTACCCGGGACTTTCCCAACCCTGGTCCGAAAGTCCAAAAAGAAAGAAGCGAGGGCATCCATGCAACTTGCCCGTCCGATCCGTCCGAATGCTTCTCACCCGACCAACCCGTCCGAACCCGTGAAGCAGCTTCGCGCAGAAAGTCGCGCGGTTACGGGAAACAGTTCGTCACAACCTCACGAGGTCCCTTGGGGATAAGGAAATTTTGGCTGAGGCCACAACGAGGCCACAAGGAATTTTCCTTGTGGTGTTTTCACATTGCTTTTTCAATTCCGTCCCCAAGGACAGGTGGAACAAGCGCGTCCTTGTGGATTTCACGTCCCCGAGGAGTGTCTAACGATGCCCTTAGTCTACCAAAAGGAACACTGTCAGCCTCCTCTTGAATTCCCCTCATCCACTCTGGGAATTCGAGTATGGAAATCAAATTGTGTTGTGAGAGTTAGTACCTGTCAGATTTCGTTGAAGAGGACTGAGACTCGAAAAAAATGAGAGTCTGAAGCCTGAAAGATGTTGTCTATTTGAGATTTAGAGAGAGGTTTAGGGCCTCGCCACACAGGCTGTCGAAATGTGCAAAACGAGAATGAACTTCACGCTAGAACATGGCCAGATGCACCTGCCACATTTTTGTCGTTTTGGCGTTTCTACAGGCTGTGTGGCGAGGCCCTTAAAGTACGGCTGGCTGGCCGGGGCCGAGTGTCTACAATCGAATGCCGAATTGGCCGCAGGTTTGGACACAGCTGTCTGGGGGTTCTTCATGAACTCAGACAAAGGGCATGGCTCCACTACTCTCCAAATGCCTAAAATGAGACTGCATCCACCACTAGAACATGGAGAGATACATTGCCATTGTTTTTGTCTTTTGTGCATGTGGAGAGTCCTGCAGCGAGGCTTCAAGATGGGAAAAAAGGGGAAACTGTGGGTGTGACACATAGGCACGAAAAGACATACATTGCCATTGTTTTTGTCTTTTGTGCATGTGGAGAGTGGTGCAGCGAGGCTTCAAGATGGGAAAAAAAGGGGAAACTGTGGCTGTGACACATAGGCAAGAAAAGACAAAGTGGCACAAGTGTCATGGTGTGAGTTTCGAAATGGGCAANTGGCAGTCCATCTCGATGGACTTTATCGGTCCTCTTCGACCTCCGACCCCCCGCGGTCATGATGCTATCCTGGTCGTCGTCGACTGCTTCACGAAGCGTGCACGCTTTGTTCCGTGCCGCTATGCCATCAGTGCACGTGAGGTCGCCGACATCGTATTTGACCGAGTCGTGCCTGACCACGGCTTACCTCTGAGCATCATATCTGACCGTGACCCGCGCTTTACCAGCCAATTCTGGCGACGGCCCCACGAGGTGTACGACACTCGGCTCCGCTTCTCCTCGTCTTACCATCTTCAGACTGATGGTTTGACCGAGATCACGAACAGGACTCTCGGAGATATTCTCCGAAAGATTGTTCGTGACGACCAGCAGTGGGACCTCCATCTTGCCCACGCGGAGATAGCGTACAACCACGCCGTCCCGCCAGCCACAGGGATGTCGCCTTACTATTGCGACTTCGTCTATCACCCTCGTGTTCCCGCGCACTTTCTTCGACCGTCACAGATGCACCCCGACACGAGTTGTCCCGCGCTGGATGATTGGGTTGCACACATGACGTCGATCATGAAGACCGCACATGAGCACATAGCCGCTTCCCAGACTCGCATGGCAGCACGTGCAAACCGATCGAGGATGGATCATCCATTCAAAGTCGGTGATGATGTGCTTATCAACGCCCGCCACTTACAGCTCGAAGCGGACACGCTTAGCAAGTTTCGACGTCGCTTCTTTGGCCCATGCCGCATCCTCCGGGTCGTCGGCTCTGATACGGCATCTAGCCCGGTCAGCTTTCGTGTGAAGCTGCCCGACTACCTACGCCAGGCTCGTGTGCATGATGTCTACCACGTCTCGTTACTGCGTCCTTACCGCAGACCGTCTGAGCGTTTCACTGGACGACCATACGAGCGCCCTCCACCCCTCATGGTGGACGACCACGAGGAGTTCCTCGTTTCAGACATCATTGGTCGCCGAGTCACCGACGACAACCCTCCCCACGTCGAGTATCTCGTACGTTGGAAGGGTTACCCTGATGAGGAGGCTACCTGGGAGCCCCACGAGCACTTAGAGCATGCTCGCATGTTGGTGCGTGCCTATGACCGTGCTCGTCGTGCTGGGTTCAGTGCTCCTCCTCAGCCCACTGACCCTCCTCCTTCTCCTCCGGCTGAGGAGACCGCTGAAGTTGAGCCTGCTCCATTTGAGCCTACCTTCAGCAGCAGCCGGATGCTTCTAAGCGTCCATAGCGCACTCGTCATCGTGTTGCTCGATACGACGATTGACTCTGACTTACCTTCCCACGTCTTTGACTTCTCAGTACTCCATCCACATCAGTTTTGCTACTTCAGCTCGTCGATGCTGCGGCTCTTCCTCGACAACATTCCGGACTTCTCATCGTGGACGTCATCGGCGGCTTCATGGACTTCATCACGATCTGCTCTGCCAACTTCAGACGTCGCCACTCTCTTACCACTCTACCCTGTACAGTACCCTGCTTGTGTCGCATGATGGTCACCCTTTAGTCGGGTTCCTCTGAGTTGGGCTCTCCCTTGGTATACGCATAGGCATCGGGACCGTAGCGTTGCCTTGACTTCCCATCTTACGGATCTAGCTCCGACTTCCCCACCTTAGGAGTCATCTGCATGATTCCCTTACCCATCACCTTCCTACCCTCTGCCGGCCCTCACGCCCTAGTTAGGCAGCCCCGCATGCTTCATCTAGGTGCGCCCAGTATACCAGGCTCCCTTGTTCCCTTGCATGGTCGACCCTCCATAGCGGTCACCCCTTAGTCGAGCTTTACCCGCCCTGATGGTCTATCTGTTAGGGTCATTGGTTTTGTTCGCTCCCAATTCCCTACCCTCATTGAGCCTAAGGACATGTGTCTCCCTGTTATCTATGTGTGGATGCCCTTAGGAGTTTTCGACCCCTAGGCTGCATTCGCCACCCTCAGAGACCATCCCACCCTTTGGTTTGCGGCACACTTCTCATGTGACATATGGTTGTCTTGTTGATTGCTTTGTTGCTCTCAGACTGAGGCTACTGCCTCCGACATTTCTAGGATTTAGTTGTTCTACTTTTGCTGTTCTAAGGACTTATACACTAGTCAGTTGTTACCAGACTGAGGCTAGTGCCTCCAACATTCTAGGATCTAGTTGTCAATACTTTCTGCTTTCCTAGGACATGTATGCTAGTTAGTTGCTTTTGCTTTCCTAGTACATGTATGTTAGTTCGTTGCTTCTACTTTCACTTAGGCTGTTAGATGTGACATTGCTGTTTTGTGACATTTTATATCCTAGGTTGCATCGCATGGACTCAGCACGGAGCTTGCTCCGCATCCTAGACTACTCAGGTTTTCTTTTCTTTGGTAGAGTTCCGCTTCTTGGCGGAAGCATGTTTGTATCTAGGCGATCCATTACACGCCGAGGATCGTGTAGCGGACCTCGGGTTGGCCTGTGAGACCAGCCCTTTGGCCTGTTCTCACAGGCCTGTGTTGTATTCGGGGTAGGCCAGTCCAGGCCGGTACCTCTGTCGGTACCAGCCAGTCCAGTCCACTCCCGTCAGTCCGCTGGGGTATACCCCAGCCATTGTCTGTTTTCAGTCTCATTCTTCACTTGCACATTTTGGAGTACATGCGTTGGAGTCTTGCGTGGGGAGTTGCGTTGTGCCATCTCGCTCCCCCCCCTTCTTCCTCCATATCCATCTCTGTGTCACTAGCGGAGCACTACACCTGGTGGGTCCGCTACAACCGGTCACTTGAACGTGACCGGCCGTTCATTTGGTGTTTTTTTTTAACGGGCAGACCATGAAAGAGTGGTTTTTTTTTTTTTTTTNTTTTTTTTTAAATCAATTCATTCAATTACAACCGAAAGAGCCCGGGGACCTCACAATTCAAACCGGAGTTATCCCGGCAGCATCAGCCGGTTTAGCTTACAGCCTGAGGCTGGGAATCAACTATCTGTTCATTCTATTACTGGGCCTGTTCTCATCAACACTCTTGCTCCAAAACTTGACAGCGGGCACAACTTTTCATTCTAGCACCTACTAAGGATTACATCACTATACCTCTACACAGGTCTGGCCCCATCTATCTACTACTCTTACTGTTTCGGAGGGCTACTGTAAAAGCAAAATACTTTACTACCGATCTTTCTATATTCAAAAAAGGAAAAACTATTCCTCAGAAGCCAACTACATTACTGAACATGTGTACTGAATGAGTCAAGGTCTATAACGACCCTATTTCCCCAACCTTAAACCATTGTTTTCTAATTTCGGGCCTATTGCGGCCCTACTTCCTCTCCAGGTCCAACGGCTAGCCAACTGCACAATTCTAAGTTTCCTTCTGCACTGATCGAAGCAAAGGAGCAATTTTTTGTCCAAGTCTTCTGGAACCAAATTCTATTCTTTCTTCCCTGTGATTTTGACAATTGCCAATCTGATCTGATTGCCAGCCTAATAAGGATTTTAATGGTTCCGGTCAGGGTCTGGAATGGCAACTGCTCGCCTGTGAATACCGCGCTGTTTCTTCCCTGCCACAAGGTTTCCATCACCGAACCTCTGCACACCAAGGCAATATAACCGCAGCCCTCAGATAGGTCCATGGCTGTGTATCTCCATAGAGAGTCCATTCATGAGTCCATTTGAATCTATTTTGTGTCTGTTTTCTCCACAGTTGTCTCCACGAGGTCTATACCTTGGACTGGGCAATAGAGCCACACATGTGTGGTCGTCTCCCATCCCCACCGGCATCTGCAGCATTGTTCTGAGATAGACATGCCTTTTGCTGCTAGCCATTTTGCCGAAGGAGTGGCCAGCAGGGATTGTAGCCATTGTTTAAACAGATCCACCGCTCCGACTTCAAATCCAGGTTCCTTCCTTAGACGCTCTGCCGCTGTTGAGATGGGCTGCTTTTTAACTCTGGCTCTAAGGATTTCAACTCCCCACCTTGGTCAGTATCGAAACACCGGATAGAAAGGGGTCTGGGACTCCACCCCTTCCCACCCTGTTAGACAAGGCTCGACTAAGATAGTGGATGCATCCTCATATAGCAGTAAGCATTTTGTTGACTTACTCGGGTCGGGGGACCAGATTCTGCTTTCCACATATCCTCCTGTGGAAACCATCACCTTCTCTCCCGTATGTTCAAGGAAATGCTCACCTTTTCCAAACTTGAACTTTGACCTCGCCTGTCTGCTCCCTGCCTGTGACTTTCAGATAGAAGCCTGCTGAATCTGGGTCTTTCAACCATGTGCCCTCTTGTGCTTGGTCTGGACTTCGAAGGACGCAGAACCAGTGTGCTGGTATGGCTCTCTTTATCATCTCATAGTTGTGGTTCAGGTTACGTTGGCGCGGTAGCAACCTACCCGTATGTTTAAGGAAATGCTCACCTTTTCCAAACTTGAACTTTGACCTCGCGTGTCTGCTCCCTGCCTGTGACTTTCAGATAGAAGCCTGCTGAATCTGGGTCTTTCAACCATGTGCCCTCCTGTGCTTGGTCTGGACTTTGAAGGACGCAGAACCAGTGTGCTGGTATGGCTCTCTTTATCATCTCATAGTTGTGGTTCAGGTTACGTTGGCGTGGTAGCAACCTACCCAGGGTTGCTACCGGGATCCAATCTTCTGCCTCCTGATCCCACAAGTTTTTAAGCTGAATAACGCCTGTCTCTTATACACATCTAGATGTGTATAATCTCACCCAGCAAAGGTCGCCTGAAGCCCCACAGCATGATGACATAGAAAAAAAAAAAAAGAAATAACCTGCAAAATGACAAACAAAATTGCTTATTTTGGCTGGTTGCTTTTTTTTTTTTTCGTTTTTAATTAAAAACAAATCTTATTCATGAATTTTTTTTTTTTTTTAATTATGGGGGTTACCCTTCGATGACCCCCACCCTCCTATAAAAAAAAAACACACCCCCCCCAGCCAGAAAAAAAAAAGAAAAACCGATCCCGCTCTCCGTCAACTCCATGAACTCCCATATCGTGAACTCCATGACCTGTTTCCGTTCACGGATCCTGTGAACGGTGAACGGGGGTCTGACAGTAGTCGCACGTCCTTTCTCGAAGACAGTAAGGAACGAGGTAACCCGAGAATATCGCAAAATGCCTTTTTCTCCCTGTATCTTGAGAGAAGTGGGGATATGGCCTCGTATAAGGTCCAAAGGGGGTTCTGAAGAATCGGTCATCCGAGATATTTGCACGAGAGGTTCCCCTAAGATCAAGGCCTGCGTCCGTTGCATGTTTCTGTCTGTAAGAACAAACGTTTTCGTGGTCTCCTATCGGACTGGGTAACGAATCAGTTGTTCAGCCACATCTTGTATTAAAGGATCGACTCCTCCTTCGTTGTCAGAGTCGCTCGATAGTTCCGGCTCCTTTCCCCTCGGTCCATTTTGTGGATTGGTTCCTTCCAGGTGATCACCCAGAGGGGTCCTTTGGTTCCAAGTGAGGGTTTCTGAGTCGAGGGTGGTGTGGTCCGAAGAGTAAACCGCATCGGAATAACGTATGGTTTTCCGCCCGTGTTTCCAAGGATGACAGATCGTCTCTCAAAATTCAGAGCTCGCAATGCTGTGAGGGCTGGTAACCCTAGAAGGACATCATAGGTGTTTACATCCAGTACTACAACGTCTCCTAGTGCGTGAACCTTTCGAAGTCGAAACGAGACGTTCGTCATTTTTCCTACCACTTTGATCTCCGCCAAGGTGATCAGACCCTTCCTTCTTCCTGCCCGTTCTACGACTCTCAAAGAGATAGTCAGTGCCGCAGCTCCGGAATCGATAATAGCGTTCTAAGGGATTCCCCATACCTTGATAACGCATTCCGCTGATTTCCACGAAATGGCTTTAATTCGCAAGAAATGATCATCTTTTTGAATTATTCCTAACAGTACTGGGTTCGAGGTACTCGGGACGTCTGGCCTATCTTCGAGGATCGGGGTCTTTCCTTCCTGAGCGGCTTACTTGGTGAATGCAAATCGTTTTTTATTAGCCTTGCAATGCAGCATGCGCTCATTGGTTTGCTCCGATATGGACAACCAATGTCTGATTGGCAACAAAATTCAATGATCTAAGGCTCGGACGACGTCTAGAACATCGATTTCTCCAGTAATGAAGGTGGGACCGCCCAACTCCATTTCTCCCAAGGAAGGTCTCCATTCGGCGATCTCTCGCTGTTCGTTGGCAGGTCGGATGGTTCCTACCATTCCCAATCCCGGGTAACCCAATGCAACATATTGGTAAAGCGGGATCAGCTCCGCAGCTTCTTCAGTAGTGGCTGCTGCACTTCCTCCTCATTCCATCTCTACAATTATCTGCCCACCCTCCTTGGCCCATTGGCCATGGGCGCAACAGTCACAGGAGCGACTCTAACTCGAGCCTATGTAGGTCGGAGTGGACAGTCTCGGGCTATGTGGCCCGGCTGGTGACACGTGTGACGGACCCTCACATTAGATGCCGCTCCGCCCATGGCCTGAGCGGGGGCGATTTTATTGCGCCACTTGTGCGGCTCTGACGGCAATGGGGCGCATCGACCTCGTTAACGATTCTATCATGGCATTGTCCTCGTGTTGTTCCTTCTTACTTT